CTCGCCTCTCCGTAGCCCGCCCCGCCCCACAGCCGGAAGTCTCCTCTTAGCCCCGCCCCGGCGCGGGCAGCGCTCCTATCAGAAGCTGCCGGGCGCCCGCCCCGCCCCGCCGCGCCCCGTCGCCCCGCCTCCTCCGCGGGCCAGTGCCTCCTACCTGCTGGGTACCGCTCGTTGACCGGCCAGCTGTCCACCTGCAGGGTGGCGTTGCCGCCGCTTCGAGTGAAGCGCACCACGTGGTACTTGCCATCGCTCACGATGGCGTTGGGTTCGTCAATGGTGATGTCGTCCGTTCCCACGTTAAAGATCACCCCCACGGTGCCCTGGTCCTGAGGACAGGGAAGTAGAGGTCAGAGACCAGGAGGAAGCAATTGTTCAATCCTAGAGCGCCACCCGTGGTCTCTCCACTGGCCCAGCTCCGCGGCACCCCACAGCTTTACAATGCACCTTTCCCAGGTCTCAACAGCCCAACGCTCCTTCCCCATATGCTGCAAGCGAGTAAACTAAGGCTCCGGACTGCCATCGTGGGGTGCAGGGCCTGGACTTGATCCTCTCCCACTAACCACACCTGCTTTTGGCTAGTTCAGAATATTCACAAGTATTCTCAGAGCACCTACTCTGTGCGAGCATCACTGAGCCCATACGGATCGTTTGGGACCACACTGGGAACGAGCTTGGGGCACTGAAGGCAGAGGCTTACCTAGGGTACAACCAACAGAGGCCCACAGAAGCCAGCCTCTGCCTAAGGATGGTCTGACAATCCCAGTCCCCGCCTCCAGGATCCCCTCTTTCCTGCATGCTCAGGGGGAGCAAGCCCCAGGGCATCAGCATGCCTCTCCTGGCAGCTTCTCAGGCCAAGGTAGGTCGGCTTTGAGTGTGGGGAGGCCCCTCTGCAGTCACGGGGTGGAGGTAGGGGATGTAGAGTGCGTTTGGGGGAATGACAGACAGGGGGAAAGATGAGGGACAAATTACGTCCCTCACCATATTAAGGGAAGGTGAACAAGAGGTGTCAGAGGGTAGGGGTGGGGAGGTACAGGCAGGGGATAGCCATGGACTGAGGCCTGGGAAGGGGTGAAGAGTCTGAGCAATCTCTGAGGTCAAGGCCCCTGGGAATGCTGCAGAGGCCACCCAGGATCCAGCCTAGAGTGCTGCCAGTGGTGCTGGAGAGAGAGGGAGAGCTTCGCTGAGCCCCTAAAACATGCCAGGTCCTCATGGGTACCACAGGACATGTTCTAGTTATCCCCACAGCAACTCTCCAAGGAAGCGCATGGCACCCCATTCTACTGAGGAGGAAACAGGCTCAGAGAGGTTACATAATATCTCAGAATCTCACAGCTCATAAGAGAAACCCCAGATTTGAACCCCTGCTGGCCTACCTCCAAAGCCAAAGCCAATGCTCTCTTCCCCCTTGCCCACTAGTCTGAGGAGACATTGACTCAGAGCTGGGGACCAGGGGTTGATCTGAGAGGTTGCTGAGGCCAACCCACCTTGAAGAACAAAGACTTCTAACCAAGCCAGCAGAAGGCCCACTGGGCCCTAAGCCTGCACCCCTATTCCATTCCCCAGCACCTCCCAGTGGCTCTCTTGAATACAGCCCCTGAATCCGCCAGCCATCCTCCCACACAGGACAGACACACAGGCTCACTCAGGCCCCCTGGGTCACACACACTCATAGTGACCCAGCCCATCATAGAAGCACACTACACCCCTGGGGTCTTCCTGAAAGACTGCCGCAGTCCAGCCTGGATATGGAAACCAGCAGCTGCCACCTCCTGTATCTAATAAAACTGAGAGCCTAGGTGGCACTGTGGGTGGGGGCAAGGTGGCTCACAGATGGGGCAGGGGCTGGGGCTGGGCAGAGAGAGCTAGGGGGCAGGGTATCAACTGTGGCCCATGTCCTATCCCTTCCCTCTGTGTGAGGTCCAGTTCTCCCCCTCCGAGACCTGGGAAAGCCACGCACACGGAGGCACACACTCATGCACACACGCGCACGCACACACAGTCTTACACACATGCAGTGTCTCTCTTCAGACACAGTAAAGCAGGGAAACTGAGGCCAGAATTGCCTAATAAAAGTATTGGCAAGCCCCACCCATCCGCCGCCCACGGACTGACAATATCCCCAGGGAGACGGGCGGATCATCTGCTCCCAGACACGTGAAGGGAGCAGCCGATCCTCCTCGGCACTATTGTTAGTAATAATATCACCCAGAATAGTATCAGCCCCTCGATGCCTCTGAGAGTTCCTCCCCACGAGGCTGAGCCCAGGCAGAGACGGCGGTCAGGGAGCAATGCAGTGTGGGAGCTGGGCAGCAGAGGGCAGGCCCGGGCGCTGGAGGGCAGGACACCTGGGTTTCCTAGGAGGCAGCCAAGCTAAGAGCTGTGCACTCCGGGGGAGAGGCAGCTCCCCAGAGCTGCTCCGATGTGAAGTCAGTTGTCACTTCTGTTAAAGTCATTAATTCCTAATTCCCCAATTACCTCATTAGGCGGCGGTGGGGAGAACGCGGCCGCTCCTACAGCAAATAATTATGGGAGTCAAAATTAATTTGGCAAAGTGGAGCGACGCTTTATTAGAAACGTCAAATTGCTTTTCTCTTATTTTGCTGCCGCCTCCCCATTCTCTGAGAGCTGCTAATGACGCTGTGGTGGGAGCTGATGTGTCACCAGGGGTGGGGGGGAACTGGGGGCTCCCCTCGAGAGACTTCAGCCTATCTAGGGCCCAGCTCTCCCCTCAGAGATGGCCTCTCTCACGGCCTCCCACCCTGGCCAGGTTCCCACCCTAAGCCAGGCCTCCTCTCTTCCCCCCCTTCTGCAGCACCCAGGCACCAGGCTTCATTCCTCCACAGCCCTGCACCAAGCAAGGCCTGTGAGGAACTGTTCAAAGGGAAAAGGAGTAAATCCTTTCTCGGGGCACCCTGAACCCCACCACCCTCTCTCCTCAGCACTAGGAGAACCATGTCCCCTAAACCAACAGACACAGAGACACACAACACACACAGATAGACACTGCCAGGTGGCAGTCACAGGTAACCGGGATACTAGCGAGCCCTGAGTGCTTCCTGTAGGGGGAGCGATGTCCCCAATCCCATTCAAGCCTCAAACAGCCCTCTGCCCTCTTACTATGCCACTACACAGATGAGGGAACCGAGGCCAAGACAGCCGTGGTGGCTTGCACAAAAACACAGCAAGGCAGTGGCGGAGCAGGGATTCAAATCCAGACCATCTGTTCCGAATCTGCGCAGAGCCTCACGTGACAGTGGAGAGAGACGAACAGCCCTCACTCAGCAGAGAAGGACATAGGGAAACACAGTCCCACCCTGCCACACAGAGAGGTGACTGAAACACCAGCAAACACCCCCCACCACGGGGAAATGCAAACACAGAGCCACATAGCAGAGCCCACAGACCTAGCCCGCTTCGTCACCCATACTCCCGACATACAGTCATCATGCAGCCAGTCCCACGCGGTCATCCCTGGCCAGGCTGTCTCACATGCAGGCCACCACCCACAGTTAGACACTCCGCTCACAGCGCAGCATTTCCAGTCCCTTCCCCAGGCCTGAAGGATGTCTTCCTGGCTGCTCTCCCCTCTGCACCCCTTCCTGGCCTGGCCTCCCTCACCTGGCACAGAAGCTGCCCATCCCACTTCCACCCCCTGCTCTGCCCGCCCCCAGGGCTTGTCCCACTCAGGCCCGCCCCCACTTCATGTCCTGTGTTGAGGGAGAAGGGTGTAGACCAGAGATGCTGAAAAGCTACCGAGGCCTTCACCACGTTCCTAAGCAAATGGGAAGGGATCAGACCCAAACAAATAAGCCTTCTCTTCCAGCTCCCTCATTCCCCCTCCAACTCTGCCCTCCTTAAAGCCCAGGGCCTGGCCGGCCTGCTCTTGCCCCCATAGCTCAGGGGTCCCAGCCAGGGCCAGAAATAGGGAAAAGGGCTGTGAAAGAGAGGAGGCCACCTGAAGACAGCGTGAAAAAGCTGTGAGGCAGGAGCCCAGATGCATGGATATGGCAGCAGGCCTGGAGGGAGCACTGGAAGTCACTGCGATCAGGCGGGAGCACGCACAGGAAGGGGGACAGGTGCACAGGAAGGAGCAGGGCTGAGAGAGGCAGGACTGGGTGGGCCAGAAACTGGGGTGGACATGGGGCTGGGCCCAGAGGTGATTGTGGCCAGAGAAGCTGGAGAGAAAATAGGGTAGAGGGCTGTTAGAAGGGCAGTGGTCAAGGGCAGGGCGGAGGCAGGATCTAGAGGTAAGGTGAGAAAGCAAGGATGGGCTTCCCTGGGGTGTGGAGGCCTGGGGAGTGGGGCAGGAACTGGTGCCAGACCCAGTGGGCGACCCTAGGGGCTCTAGGAGTGAGCAGGCAGCAGCTCAAGGGCAGAACAAATGGAGCACTTGTGAAGGTTCGGGAGAACAGCCAGACGCCCCGAGGAGGCCCTTGGCTAGTTCAGGAAGGTCAGGAGATACAGATGGTCTCAGGGAGTATGGAGCTGGGGCCATGCAGCGCAGATGGAGCGGCTCTGGGAAAGTCAGTGAATAACTGGGAGAGGGAATGGGTCTCAGAAACAGAACTCCTTAGCAGGAAGCCCTGGGCAGGAGGGGATAGAGGTTCTGGGGGCTCCCCATGAGGAAAACTGGAGGTGCTGAGCCCATGGCAGGGAGGAACCAAGCAGGCTTGGAGTCGGAAGGCCAGGGCTCCGGGTCCTTACAATGTGCAGCTGCAGATAGTCTCCGAGGCCAGAGGCGCTGTCCACCCGCACCAGCACAGCGCTCCGCTGGTGCGTGCTGAAGCCCACGGCCAGGCGGTCCATCCTTGTGCTGGGCCGGTCATTGGGGGGCCACGTGTAGGTGATGAGCGCTCCCCCCTTCCCAAAGATATATGTGGTCCCGGCTGCAGACAGAAGGAAAAAGAGGAGAAATGACATCAGGAGGACGAAATCAACGAGGCTCTATGGGGTTGGGACCAGAGCGCTGGGAAACCAGGTTTAGGGCATGCGACTTCAGCTGTGATACCCACAGCAGCCACCAGCCCTGCCACCCTAGGGAACAGCTGGCAGGCGGGTGCCCGGGTGAGAGCCTGTGCACGCGCACTCACAGATGTAGCTGCCTCATCAAGAATTCTCGCTTTAATTACAGCAAAACAGAGGTAATAGAGAGAGTGACACAGAGAGAGCCCAGAGGCTGCAAGGAGACCAAGATGACGAGAGCCCCGTGGGCAGAAAGGACCCAGGGGGCCTGGTGCTGACCAGCTCAACTTCTCCCAGGGCTGGCAGAGGTGACAGATTCAAGGTGTGTGCAGCTTTGGGGCCAGAGCTGAACAGTCACCAAGGCGAAAATGAGCCCCAGGCGATGGCGGGAAGATGAGCAGGCTGTGTGCAGCTCTGACTCACGGCCCACTGCTGGCACCCCTCCAACACCTGCCCCCCCAGCCCTCTCCCAACCCCCTGGAAATTCTCCTGGTTTGCTCTGGACTCCTGTCTCCACCCCCAGCCAGGGGGCTGCCTGGGTCCCGAAGCAGGGAGGTCCTGGAGCCCTGCCCAGAAAGGAAGAGACAGACATGGGAGGGGGCATTGACAGCCAGAGGAGGAAGGAGGCAGAGAGACAGATGGACAGAGAGGGACAAAGAGGGGTGTAGGTGAGAGGAACAGGAGAGTGGGAGCCCGTGATGGAGGCTCCCTCTCCCTGCCCTCCCCCACCCCACCCTCTCTCCCCTTCTCCCTCTCTTCTTCACCATCCGGCTGCCGGGGGCGGGTGTGAGGTCCCTAACGATCTCAGCCCCAAAATAAACCCCATTAGTCGCCATGTTCCCTCCTGCGGCTGACTGAGCTCCCTGGGGTGGGGGCTGGTCACCCAGTTTCCCGGAAGGGAGCCTAGCCTGGGAGGCCTGGAGAACTGATGCTCTGGGCCTACAGAGAAGGGAAGAGTCTTGTATTCTTTAGAACATAAATGGAGCAGATGAGATTCATAAAATGCTTAATTAAATAATTAGCCACTAACGACTCTTCTCAAAGCACTTTTTTGGGGGAGAAGCATCCAAGGGAGGATGTAGCCAGAGAAAAAGAGGCAGATGGGGCCTGAGGGCAAAAGCCTGGAGTAGGCTCAGAGGAAAATCTGGCCTTGGGGGTGGGAGAGCTCCGGCTGGTCAGGAAGACCTGGGGTGAGAGCTGGGAGCCTGGAGGGCAGGACATCCTAGGAGGCCTGAGGTACTTGCAGGGAGTAAGTGCATCAGCCAAGATGGTGGCCCCACTGGTAATGCTGGCTGGGTCCCCTGGGGTACCCCAGGGTCTCTCACTCAGGCACTCAGGGACCACCTAATAGTTCAGGCAACCAGCTCCAAAGCCCCCAAGGGAGAGAGGGACTCCTGAATGCCATAGAGGGGAGGCTCTGTCTGCAGGCCCAGGGGGGAGTTTGAGGAGGCAACGGAAGGCTGCTGCCTGGGTCCCTAGGAGGTAGTGAAGCTGGCAGGGACTGGGGTTGGGAGAAGCAGGAGCCCTGAGTGCCCTTGCTGGTCCCCAGAGGATCCACCACCAGCACCTTCCGTCTTCCCAGACAGGGCCAGAGAGTGAGTGTCCCTTAGGAGCAGGGCATGGAGATGTCTGGGAACCTACAGCTCACAGTCTGGGGCCGGTGGTGGGTAAAGCATTCCCAGCACAGAAGGAGTTTGGTTCTGCCCCCTGCAGACCCAGGTGTCCTTTCCACCTGGGGACCCTGAAAGCATAGTGGTTAGGACTGAACCCTGAGGATAGACCCCGAATTTAGGCTGAAGAGATGGCTGAAGGCACGGTACACAGTGAGCCCCAGCATAAGTCACCTGCCTGGAAAGGGCAGGGCCTGGAAGTGGGAGCTGAGTCGGCCTCAGTCAGTAAAAGTCTCTCCACTCCCAACACTGCAGCACTCCGGAAAATCGGCTGTTTCCATAGCAACCATAATACCCAGGGTCCTCCCTCCCCCCTCCACTCATAAGCTGCACGTTTGAATTTGGGGGGTGGGGTGAGGGTGGGAAGGGAGTGGGGAGCTGACCACACACATCCCAGTCAGTCCCTTGCCTCCCTGCCCAGAGGCTGCAGACTCCTCACCCCTGGGCTCCAGGGCCTCCCAGGCAAAGGATGGTTTGGGTTTCTGGGTGCCTCAGACCTGGGAAGGAAACCTCATCTACCTGGAGCCTGCCCCGCAGACCCTCCGGTCTAGAGGAAAGGAGGCCCTGCCTAGTCACCTTCCCATCCTGGATCTCAGACAGCACATCACCGCGGTGCCCACACAGGGCCTGATGCCCCATTGGGCAGTGAGGTGGGAGGGCTCAGAGGCGCGTGCCCACCGCCCAAGGCCCAGTCCCCACAGCAGACACATCCCTAGTGACGCACAGCCAGACCCCACGCCCACACACAGGCGACGACGCACCCAGCTGCACACAAAGACCTAGCGTGGAGAGGCAGACCCCCGGCAGGAGACGAAGCCGCGGGGAAACATGGCGGTAAGCGCACAAAGACGGGCGGCGCAAGGGCAGGGGCTGGCCCCGCGCGGGGACCGGGCGCACGCGTCCCCGTGCCCGTGCCGGGCCCAGAAGCCCACGGTGCTCAGGTTGCCCGCCGCCCTCCCCAGCCTCTCTACTCTCCATCGCAGGCGTCCCCCGGGATTTATTACCCAGCTGTTCTCACACTGCAGCCAGTTTATTACGCTGGGCGGGCCTGTTAAAGCCTAAGGGCGTTTATTACACTGTGGGGGGACCGGGGCGGGAAGACACTTCTTGGGCCGAAGAGGTGAAGGATGAATGGTTTATTGGACTGGGGCGGCAGTAATTACCCTGGGGAGACATCCCTCTCCCCGGCACCACGGCTCCCGCCCGAGGGCGCAGAGACTTGGATAGCGGGCGACGTCTGGGCAAAGGAGGCGGGGCTTCCGCCAAGTCCCTCCCTGAGACCGTGCTCCGTAGCCACCACCCACAGCTCGCCTCTCAACCCCAGCCTCTCGCCCCGCGCGGGGTCCTCGGCCCTGCCCACCGACTCCCGCAAGGAAGGAACAGATCCTCCTTCCAGGAGAGAGGGAGCCCAGGATGGGTCGCCACCTCTAAAGCCCCAGCAGGCTCCAGATAGGGTTCTGAGCACAGAGAGGCCCAGAATGCTGTCTGAGGGTGATCTAGACTAATAGTTTTCCACCTCCCTAGGAAAAGGGTAGTAAGCTGATTGGCCCATAGCATTCCAGGGAGCACCACACCCCTAAGGCCCATGGCAAGCAAGCCTCTGGCAGATACAAAGTGCCACAGGCTCAGGTACCCACTACTCAAAGGCCCAGGGTTGGTGCCTTCTGCCCACTCCTAGCATCCTATCTTCTCAATGCCTCCTAGGCCCAGAAATTCACAGATCCACTAAAACACTCAGTGATCAAGAATCTTCCATGCCGTTCTCCACACACCTGCATTCTAGAAAAATAAACAACCAATGTTTAACTAACCCAGATCCTAACAACAGTCAGGCCATGCAAAAAAACCACCCAGGTAGTGATGCCACTGAGGATAAAACCACTTGCAGACCCCATGTCTGCAGGTTTTCCTGCAGCATCAGAAGCCATGACAAGAACCTCCTGGAAGATCCAGAATCATGAAAGGATAAAACACCATGCACAATCCAGAGAAGCCTCAGACCTGGGTGCTCACAACCCACACAGCTCTGTTTATGGACCTTCACAACACAGAGGGGGAGCTCTGTACAGGTCCAGATCCCTGAGCTCAGCGATCCCGATCGAGATCCCAGAACATATCCCTCTCGATTCTTAACCTCATGCTTGGCCATAGGCCATCCAGTCAGGAATCCAAGTTAATACGACCACATTCTGAATCCAAATAAATGTTAGCCCCCTTGTATGCTGGAGCAATAAATCCAGAACCCCTGGGTCCTACTGACTCAGAAATGAGCTGGGATTAACCCCTCTATATCTGGCTCCAGAGGGTACCAGAAATGAAGGTCAGGGGGTAGGAGCATCCTCAAGGACTCTGAAACCAGAATTGGGGATCAGGGGCCAGAAGAATACCACCCTCTCAGCCCATTTTTAGGACTCAGGTGTACTGGTCTTCTCATGCCCCAGACAGACATCAGGTGCAAGAGTGAAAATGGGTGTCTGGCAGGTAGGGAGGTGCGTTATATAACAGGAGGGACTGGGGGATGGAAGGGGAAATGGGCGAGAATGAAGAGAAGGCTGGAAGGAAGACAAGTAGAATGTAGTGAGACCCCAAGAGAAGAGAAGTGGAGAAGCAGGTGTGGAAAGAAGAAAGATTCCCTCATGATGGAGGATGCTGGGAACACGCTAGGGCAGAGAGGAAGCCTGGCCTTGAAAGGCATCCCAAGCTGGCCTATCCCTCCAGTCAAGCATGTGGTCCCAAAAGGAGCCAGTCCTTCTGCCTACCTCATCCCATGGTTACGGTGAGCAGAGGTGGGGTTCAGCCATGATAAGTGGCCTCCTCCCTACTCTTCTATCTTTCCTTGGACCTTCTTCGTTCCTCTCAGCTGCCCTCCCACAGGCTCCCCCATCTCCCAGCACCTCCCAGCACTGTCCTGCAGCACCCTCCAGCTCCTCCTCTGTTCCATGTGGCACTGGCAGTCAGCGGCCCTCTTTCTCTTCTACAGTGCAAGAAGGTGGCTATCTCCGAGGCAACCCCAACACCAACATTCCATAGGTTTCCTCCCCACTCCTTGCTCTTCCATCCATTTTCTTTCCCTTTGCCCAGGTCTTGCTCCTTCACTAAACCTTCCTTGGACACTCTAGGACCCAGGCCTGCCTTCCAGTCTGCTCAGGGCCCCTGGGCCAGCTCCCTTGCCCTCCTGTTTCACCTTCTCTCTTCCTTACCTCACAAAGCTCTCCCTCAGTAGAGTTGGCTTCCCTTTCCTATCTCACCCTGTT